GCTTGCAGAAGTGTGACAGGGACTCTGCCTGCCACAGGGGAATGAGCTATGGACAAACCCTCCCCCTCCATGCAAGCCACAACCTTCCCCACCCACCCTCCCCCCACATACTCACAGGCCTCCACAAAACCACACACATTCACTCACAGGCTCCCACAAAACCCACACACATCCACATAAGCACACCCGCGTGCCTATCCACCTCCCCACAAATCCCACATACACACCATACCCTCCCCAACACCCCACATACCCATAAACCTATACGCATTCTCCCATACCCTCCCACAATATACAGGAGGAAGACTTCATTTTAAGCCATTATACTATCACCTCTATTTATGTACACTACACAAACACATGAAAATCAGGACAAACATATTTTTTTTGATATTGAATTCATGAATGTTGTAGTAGGTGTTTGATTTTTAGAATATAATTTGGTGTTTTTCTGTTTCTGAAATAGCAAACCCCCGTTCTAAAAGGAGTAGTTTGCGGGGGGCAAGGGGAGGGACTTCTGGTGGTAAAGATCAGGGGTTAGGGGGCAGGACTTCTGGTCCCAAGATGACTAGGGGGCAGGACACCTGTCAAGGGGCAGGGCTACCCATGTGGCCCTCGATGGCTTGCCAGAACTCGGTAAGCGACCCTCTACCCAAAATAATTGCCACCCCTGAGCTAGGGAATTGGAGGGACCATTAGATGACTAAGGTGTAAAAGATCATAGCAGAGCAGCTAAAAAAAAAGTCCTTGCATCAGTGTTTAGAGTAGACGGTACTGGGGACATTCCCATGGCAGATCAATCCTTTCTAGTAGATGGGTGTGAAGAGTTGGACGGCACTGAAGGACAAGAGAGGATATTTTAGAAAATGAATATGTTAAATAACAATAAGGCACCCGGACTGGATGGCATTCACCCAACAGTTCTGAGGTAACTCAAAGGTGCAGTTGCAGAACTGCTGGCAATAGCATCTCACCTATCGTTACAAATGGCCGGTGCCAAAGGACTGGTGGGCTGCCAGTATAACACCCATCTTCAAAAGGGCTCCAGAGGTGTCCCGAGGAACGACAGACCAGTGAGTCACTTCCATTCCTGGCAAGTTGGCAGAACATCTAATAGAGAATAAAATCAGTAATCATATGGGCAAATATGATCTGCTGGGGAGGAGCCAGCATGGCTTTTGTAAAGGGAAATCTTGTCTCGCCAATCTGTTACAAGGGTGTAGGTTGTAGCCGTGTTGGGCTAAGGACGCAGGCAAACAAGGTTCTTTGGGTAGATCTGATATCTTTTATTAGGCCAACTCAAATAGTTGGAAAAATTCTTCTTTGCAAGCTTTTGGCTATAAATAACCTTCGTTAGGCTGAGGAAGCATCTGTCAAAAAAGGCATTGAACACTTCAGCCTTTTCTGCATCCTCTGTCACCAGGTTGCCTCCCCCATTCAGGAAGGGACCCACACTTTCCCTGACCCTCCTCTTGCTACAGACCTACTTGTAGATCCCTTCTTGTTATCCTTCATGACTTTTGCTAGCTGCACCTCCAACTGCGCTTTGGCCTTCCTGACTTCATCCCTGCATGCCCCAGCAATCCTCTTATAAGCCTCCATATTTATTTGACCAAGTGTACACTTCTTATAAGCTTCCTTTTTGTGCTTTAGCTTACTGAAGAGTTCCCTGATGAGCCAAACTGGTAACACGAGTATGATTTCCCTTTCGCAGCCATGTCTGGAGAAGCTGAAAAACCTGAAGATCTTATTCAGAGAGATCCTGTTCAGGAAGAACTGCTGACCAGCAGTGGCCAAATGCAGGAAACTACTGAAAACCAAGCGTTTCTGAATTTATTGAAGCGACTGGGACTTGCCAGCTATTATCCACAGAAAATGGGGCGAGCAGATTTCCACATCATTTACAAGACCTCTGTGCATGACAGCCAGCCCAGCAAGGACAGTGAGCTGCCATTTTATTTTTTGCAAAAGCTGATGATGCTGGACTACCGTGTAAGGTACCTGGTTTGCAAGGATGACCCGAAAACTGAACAAGACCCAGCAAATGCACCAACAACCGAAGGCAATGAGGGCGAATCCTTCAATACATTTGATGACTTTTTTAATGACTTTACAGAGCGAGCTGGTGGATCTACCGTGCATCAGACACACGTGCATCCAATGGACATCCAGATGGCGATTTTTCACTGTGCCGATGATTTCATGAGGCAATACGTTTGCACAAAGCTTGCGCTCTGCCAGTTTGCCCTCCCACTGCTGGTGCCAAGTCCTCGTGGCTCCCAGATACAATTCCCTCTTTGGGCCCTTAGCCTGCTCCACAAGAGCTGGAAAGGCGCTGAGCAATCTGGAGATGGCACAAGAACTAAAACTAACAAAAACAAACTGATTTACCGAGTGGACACCCCAGTGGTGTCCTTCATGCGCATTGGGGATTCTCCTGCTTCTTCTAAGTCTCAGATCCTGAACGCGCTGCTGAGCAAGCACAAGCACGATATCTTTTTCCATCGTCATTGCAGAGGCAGCAGCAAAGACTGCCTCCTAATGAGAGGAGTCGTGGAAATCTTCTGGTATTGTCCGGCTGGGAGAGATGACGATCGATTTGACAACTGCATTGCCTTTACTAACCTGCACGGAGATGCACGAGAACACGAGCAACAAATCCAGTTCTTACAGGAAGTTTCGTCTATTAACGTGATTCTCATCACTGAGTCTGGTCAGAAGGACGAAAAAGGCATGAAAATTGTACGTGATCTCTGGCAATCTCAAAACCCTCTGCTCTGTCTTCTTGCTGACAAAGAGAAAGTTGTGGCTGGAAGATCTCCCCAGCACATCAAAATAGCCCTCAAGAACAGGAACGAAGCAGAGCTGATGGACGAGCTGACCACAACCATTAGGCATTTCCTGGCAGGCTCACCCCGCACCGTCAGTCTGGAGGCCTGTGGAGAGATTGCTCGCCGGCATGGTTTCCTCATCGATGGAGACAAGGAAGAGTGTCAGGAAGCCAGAGCTGTGGCACAGACTCTGGTGACGCTCCTGAACGAGAATAAATTGCGTGACATCAAGGAAAAGCTACTGCCCTTGCAAGGAGGGTTGTGGCACGAGTGGTGCAGAAAGGACAAGGAACTTACCCGCCTGCAGGACAAAGGGGACCGAAGCATTGAGCAGCACCGGAGTGAGATTGAGTCAGAAAAGTCTGTGATACGAAATAAGCAGCTGAAAAGAGCATTCCCCCTCAATGACCTGATGAGATCCGTGCTTGAATTTCTCAGGGTGCATCCAGAGGCCACCAAAAAGTACTTCTTGCAGTGGATGAAAGTCTTCATGGATGACCTGTCCTCCGACCGACTTGCAGTTCTTCAGCAAAATTATCATAAATTGTGGTCTGATATCTTGGCACAAAAGAAAAAAGGAGTGGATGATGGCTTGAAAAATAAGCTAAGAAAGTTAGAGGCACTCTCAAATGAAATCAATGATTCTACCATTGGCCTTGAGCACATTTTGAGAGAGGTTGGGCAGATTTATGAAGCTTTGGAGGCAATGAATAAAAAAGATAAATGTTTTCTTGAACTACCTCAAATTGCCGCTGACCTGATGGTTTCAGGGTATCCCGTTGAGCTGATGGACGGTGACGCTTCCTACGTGCCACTGAAATGGGTGGGGGCAGTTTTTGACAGATTGATTGAGAAGCTGGGGGACAAAAAGGTGTTTGTTCTCTCGGTGCTCGGCATCCAGAGCACTGGAAAATCAACGCTGCTCAACGCCATGTTTGGCCTGCAGTTCAACGTCAGTGCAGGGCGATGCACCAGGGGAGCTTTTATGCAGCTCATTAAAGTGGATGAGAAACTCCAACAAGATCTGCACTTTGATTACGTATTTGTAGTTGATACTGAGGGGCTTCGGGCCATGGAGCTGGCCAATAAACTGTCATGCAGTCATGACAACGAGCTGGCCACTTTCGTCATTGGCCTCGGCAACGTGACGTTAATCAATATATTTGGGGAGAATCCCTCAGAAATGCAGGACATCCTGCAGATCGCAGTGCAGGCTTTTCTGAGGATGAAGCAAGTCCGTCTCTCCCCAGGCTGTTTGTTTGTGCACCAAAATGTTGGAGACATCGCTGCAAAAGAGCAGAACATGGAAGGACAAAGGCGCTTGCAGGAAAAGTTAGATGAAATGACGGTCATAGCAGCCCAGCAGGAGTTCTGTGACGCCACCTGCTTTAACGATGTGATCCGGTTTGATGTGAACAGCCACATCCACTACTTTGCTCACCTGTGGGAAGGAAACCCCCCCATGGCCCCCCCAAACCCCAGTTACAGCCAGAACGTGCAGGACCTGAAGAACAGCATCCTCGCGGCTGCCAGACACGAATCCCAGGGCAGGGTCTTACAGCTCTCAGGATTAAAGGTCCGCATCGGCGACCTGTGGAGCGCTTTGCTGAATGAGAATTTTATTTTCAGCTTCAAGAATTCACTGGAGATTGCAACGTACAAGAAGTTAGAAGTGATGTATGGCCAATGGACGTGGCAGCTCAGAAGCCACGTACTGGATTTGGAAACAAAACTGAGCAATCGCATTCAGAACGGAGACGTGCTCCCGGTCAGCCACGGGAACCTGGAAGAGCAAGTTCAAGCAAAGTACAGTGCCATCATGAAGGAGTTTGAAGAGTATTTCAGTGAGGACAAGGACTCGGAGATGTTGATCCAGTGGAAAGCTGGCATTGAACTGAAGCTGCAAGATCTGAAAGGGTCGCTTGTGGCAGAAACAAAGAAGAAGTGTGAAAAACTCATTGAACTGAAGAAGAACGAAAGCAAGGTAGATGCAAAGAAGTCAGAGTATGAGAATGAGCTTTTCAGAAGAAGCAGAGACTTGGCTCTGTCACTAAAAGGCAAGGAACTGAGTGAGCGCGAACTGAGACTCAGCTTTAACTCCCTCTGGACTAGGTGGGTCACTGAAGTGTCCTCCGCGGCTCCACCTGCTGAAGAGCCTAATATTAATGTCGACCTGGAGAGTATCCTTCTGGAGCGTTTTACACAGCCTAATCTAGCAAGAAGAATTAAGGATTTTTCCAGGAAAAAAAAGTTTTCTGTAGATTTTTCTAAACATATCTGTACAAAGAAAAAAATTTACTTTTTCAAGACTGATTTAGTTGAATGTGACAAAAAGAACATCCAGCAAATAACAGATCACATCATGCACCTTGTCAAAGAAAAGATTGATCAGAAAGAGCAACAAAAAAGGGATTACAATCGAGGTTACTTTCATGAAATACTGAATGAAATTAGGATAGGTATAAGCTCCCTACCCAGCACTTCAACATATACCTTCAATGCAGAGTACGAAATAGAGCTATCATTGTACCTATGCAAAATGGCAGCACAAAGGTTTGAAGATATGCACGCAGCCTTTAAAAAAGCAAACGATCCAGCTTTGTACCTGGAAAGCAAGAGAGAAGATTTCTTCAAGTGCTTTCAGATTTCCTGCCAAGGCGCCACCTCCATCACAACGTTGGCCGATTTCTTATGAGCCAAGCTGTCTGCAGCGCTTCTCCAGGCAGTGTACGACAAGACTGCCATTGACATCGCCGGTGAGATGAGGGCCAACTATCCAGCCTCCAATGGCAACCGATCCAAACTAGAAGCCTATGTTCTGAAATCCCTGGCAGAAGAGGAAAACTTTGACAAGTACCGGCAGTACATTCACTTCCCAAAGGACTTCATAGAGGGTTTTATCAAAAAGTGCGTTGAGGATTATTGTTTCAATCAAAGGAATCCAAGACTGAGGACTGTGTTAAGTATTTCTCTTGATACTTTGCACTCTCGTGTTGTCTCAGCTATTGATGACTCTACTAGGGTGGTGAAAGACAGAAGGGGCAATGTATCCTCATGGCTGGATGAGTTCTGCACCAGACTTGGAGGAGATCTGTGCTTTCCAAGAAGTGATCTGAAAGGCATTGAACACCAGGAGATTACAGATATAGAATTTCTGAAGAAAGCAATGAATAAAGCATTGGATCCAGTGATAGAAAAGCTAAGAAAGGGCTTTGCTGACACTGGTCTGCACTCATTGAGAAAGGAGCCACACAAAATCCTAGCTGAGCAGCTGGGTGGGTGCTGGGAGCAGTGTCCCTTTTGCAGTGCTGCGTGCACCAACACCATAGCTGATCATGATGGAGCCCACAGTGTTTCCTTCCATCGTCCTCAAGGTGTGAATGGATGGCACTGGTCCACAACAAACCATCTTGTTACTGATATTTGTTCCAGTCTTGTAGCAAGCGATTGCGATTTCATACTTAGTGGTGATCGCGAGTACCCATACAAGAAGTACCGAGATGCAGGACATCCGTATAACACCTGGAACATCACACCTGACACATCGGTGCTGCCTTACTGGAAATGGTTTGTGTGTCATTTCAGGGAAGATTTGGAAAAGCAGTACAGTAGAAAATTTGAAGGCAGAGGTGAAATCCCTTCCCAGTGGAAAACAGTTACAAAGACGGCTGTTCTTTCAGAGCTGGAAGCCTTCTTAAAGTAGTCAGAACAAAGACTATACAAGTGTAGAATCAAGGAAACCAGATTGCAGTTGGAAACCGTAAGAAAAGAACTTAATTTTCAAATATTGCTATTGATTGTATTGCATTTTAGAAAACTAGTTAGATAAGCAAAGCTGTAGTCTAAACTATTATATCGTGCAGAGATCTATACCGTAATTCCTTTCATTGTGCAGGTGTGGGGCTGCTTCTCCAGACTACAATGTCAGAGTCCTGCAGTTTCCCCAAGTACAGAAATCTAACTCACGCATGTGTCCATGTACTAAAATCTTCCCTGCTGTGAGCGTATTAACATGGACAACTAAAAGCAGCAACGCAAAGAGCAAGGAAAGGCAATAGTAAATACTAACATTATAAAAAGTAGGATATGATACAATACTGCTTCACATTTGCTCTTCTGAATAGAGCGGGCAGCGTGCAGTTCTAGCTACATGTGCCAGGGATGCTCGAATCAGGCTTGACTCCCCATACCTGTTTTTTGGCTTGTTTCATTCTTCATGTAGTGACATATGCACTGAAATAAAAACACTGGCGACTTTCTGTCATGTCGGGTATTCACAGAGTACTTGTCCCTGCGGAGCCCAGGGGTGGCATTCAGTTATGCCCTGGAGATGCCTACTGATCTGGAGACCAAGAAAGACTGTGCAGATGTTCAATACAGCGGTGGCAACCTGTCACACTCTGGGGTGCATCCTGGCCTCGCTGTAAGTACGGGAGCCTGTCTGGGCATCCAGAGAGCAGCATGTCCTGCGTGTGCATGTCCAGCCCAGCTCCTCTCCCAGGCTCCCCTGATAAGGGTTTGCTTGCCGGCTGGGCACTGATAGCAAGGCCCACACTGCCAGGGAGGGAGCCAAGCCAGCTTAGGGGACATTATGGCCCTGATCTCCACCCCAGCTTCCCCCCAGGCAGTTGTGGATCATGAACAAGTTTAGAGCCCAGCGCTTGCACTGGGACAACCATGGAGGGGTCCTTGGAGACTGCTCCCCTTGTCACAATGAGTGCGATCACTTGTTGGGAGAAATGCAGCCATGGTCAGCTCGGGGGGGGGGGGGGGGGGGCGGGGGGAGGAGAGGGCGGGGGTGTTGCGGCGGGTGTGGGGGGGGCGGGGGCTGTGGATGAGCGGTGCAGTCCATCCAAAACCCATGGAGGGCCCTGAGGTGCTTGGCAAGGTGGGAGGAGAAGCAGCCTGCAGCAGGGAGCTTTTCTTAGGAGGCGTCATTAGATGCATGGTGCCTGCCTCGTCCTGCCATTCCCCTGCCCGCGGGGCACTTCCCGCCCTCTCTCAGGTGCAGCAATCAAAGAGCCTGGGCTTCGAGGCACCAGCACCTGGTGGGGCCAAGAAAGGCTCTGACACCTGCCCCAAGCACCCCAGCTACTGTCTCCTCAGCCAGCCCCGCTCCCTCCAATGCCCGTGGAAACCTCCCCCTTCCGGACCGCCCCTTGGCCCTAAAAAGCAGCAGGAGAAGAGCTGTGTTCCCCATGGGGCCGACTCAGCCAGGCCCCCCTGAGAGCCCTGCTGGCCACCTTTCCTCCCAAACTGCCCCCCGAGCTTTTCTACCAGCCCCTACCCCAACACGGCCCGCACTGGGAGCTCTTCCAGCCTGTCCCCCAGTCTGAAAGGACCACGGTGCAGGGCCATCAAGGGACAAGAGCGAGACCTGATGGCAGGGGACCCGTGCCCCGAAGTATGAGATGAACCATGTGTGGGGATAGTCACTTGGGGAGGAGACCCACGGGCCGAGCCTGCCCAAGGCATGGCAGGCGAAGCTGTGGCTTGTTTGGATCTTTGTAGAGGAAGCACGGACATTTCTCTGTGGGGCTGCGGTCAGGGCGTCAGGGCTATAACACGTCTCTCACCACCGTGGTTCTTGGGGCTGTTTCCTCCCTGCTGCAGCGCTCCTCAGACCACACCGGTCCCTACCGCCATGGACACTGGCACGTCACTTTTCTGTTTCTAGCTTACCCACAGCTCCGCGGGTGCCTTACACAAAGAAAACTACTACAAAATACTCCAGGTGGGACCTACACTAGGATCCAACCCAAGGTTTCTATCACTCATGCATCCTGCTTTGGAGAGGCTTTGGACAAAGAGGCTTCTTTTTCTATATGCAGCAGTTGTGTCCAGAGGTCCAAATATTCTCGGGGGAAATGATTGGAATAAGTGCTATGGTGCTCTCCCTCTGGATCCTCAGCTTTTTCTACTGAGTGCTGCAGGATAGGAAGTTTACTTTTGGTAGCAAGTAAAGCTGGGATCCTTATTTTTAGAGGCTACATTATGTATTGTTCAAATTTGGAAGGAATCAAACACACACACACACACACACACACACGCACGCACGCGCACACACACACTGAAAACAAAGTATGTTAAACGATGGCATATCCTGGTGATGGATAAAACATCCCATCAGGTTAGAAAAGAAACAAAAGAGGGTCCGATATTTAGACATATGGACTCCGTTCCTGACCCACGTAGAGGACAGACTCTCACCAGCCAGAAGCCGGGTCTCCAGACAACATCTGTGAAGATGAATGGATTACTTACATACATAAGTCTTATACTGAGAGCAGAGATGATACGTTATCAGACTTGCTGCAAAGTCTTTTCTTTCTGGAGAGGAAACCTCAGCCTCACGTGACTGCCCGGCATCTGTTCTGCGCTGGAGCTGCCTGAAAAAGAAGTTTAGAAAGTAAAAAAACATCAAAGCTCAAGCTGGTGCCCACACCCTGCATTTCTCTGTGTTAATGCCTTTCCGTGTCTTTCAGGTTTAACCTTAATGTGGCCATCTGGATTGGTAATGCAACTCAGGATAACGAGGAGCTTTCTGCCCATTGTAATAATTTTACCCTGAGGTTGGTTTGACATGGACTCATCATGGGGGTTGCAAAGAGGATGGAGCTGGGATCCTCTTAGTCGGGGCAGATTACAGGACAAGGAGTAATGGGCTCAAGCTGCAGCAAGGCTGGAAAATTGGTTCCGGGGTTGGACCCAGAGGGTAGTAATCGATGGAAGTCACTCATCGTGGTGTCCTGTGACCAGTGGGGTCCCCCAAGGCTCTGTCCTTGGACCCATACTGTTCAACATCTTCATTAATGATGTGGACACTGGAGTCAGAAGCGATCAGAACTGGCCAAGTTCGCCGATGACACCAAACTTTGGGGCAAAGCATCCACACCAGAAGACAGGCAGGTTATCCAGGCTGACCTGGACAGGCTCAGCAAGTGGGCGGACGAGAATCTGATGGTGTTCAAAAAGCGACCAAAACGCTGGCTTGCATCCATAGATGCTTCTCAAGCAAATCCCGGGACGTCATTCTCCCCCTGTACTCGGCCTTAGTGAGGCCGCAGCTGGAGTACTGCGCCCAGTTTTGGGCTCCACAATTCAAAAAGGATGTGGAGAAGCTTGAGAGAGTCCAGAGAAGAGCCACGCGCATGATCAGAGGTCAGGGAAGCAGACCCTACGATGACAGGCTGAGAGCCCTGGGGCTCTTTAGCCTGGAAAAGCGCAGGCTCAGGGGTGATCTGATGGCCACCTACAAGTCTATCAGGGGTGACCACCAGCATCTGGGGGAACGTCTGTTCACCAGAGCGCCCCAAGGGATGACGAGGTCGAATGGTCACAAACTACTTCAAGATCGTTTCAGGCTGGACACAAGGAAGAACTTCTTTACTGTCCGAGCCCCCAAGGTCTGGAACAGCCTGCCACCGGAGGTGGTTCAAGCGCCTTCATTGAACACCTTCGAGATGAAACTGGATGCTTATCTTGCTGGGATCCTATGACCCCAGCTGACTTCCTGCCCTTTGGGCGGGGGGCTGGACTCGATGATCTTCCGAGGTCCCTTCCAGCCCTGATGTCTATGAAATCTATGAAGGGAAGTTGAGGCTGGATATTGGTGTAATCCTAGTCACGGTGCTATCCACGGCCACGTCCAGATTCAGTGTCCTGGGGCCTGAAATAGCCTTGGTCAACCGCCCAGACCCTAAGGAGTGCTTTCTTGTGGTTTCCCCACCCCCTGCAGGACATACATCTGACTATTTATACACTTTATTATTATAAACAGTCCACATACGAATGAGGTTAATAACAGAGCGGGATATCAATCATCTAACCGTTGACGGCAGGTATCAATGCACTGAAACACGCTGTGCTGATTGAGTCAAAGACACCCCAGTACAACTCCCCAGTATAAACCTTGGGACTCGAGTGAAGTTCAGCAGAAGCACACCGGGGCAGTGCAAACATCCGCTCTCCTTCACGCTGCCAACACAATCATCATGGCTGGTGCTGCTGCTCCAAAGTCCTGCGCTCTGCTAGACCCTCGTGGGGAAGAGCAGCTCTCCTCTGCTCCACGTCTGTGGCACCTGCAAAGAAACACACACTGGCCCCCTTCCCCAAAAGCACTTTCTCCACTTCCCAGGCATGGCCCCTTGTGCTGAGACCTGAAACCACCCTGGGTTTATCACCCATCCAGCCCCAGGCTGCTTCTCAGTTCACTCTCCCCAGATCAACCCCTTGCCTCCTAGGCAAGTCTACCACACCGCCCTTTTTCCTCACATGGGTCCCTCTGCCTCACAGAGGGGAAAAGGATACCAGGCTGTCTTCTCCCCATCACTAAGGGCAGGTTCACTGCACAGACAGGCTGCAGGGTGGTTCCTCCCCAAGCACTGTGGTCCCGGGTCCTTTCCCTTCTCTGAGCCTGGCCGAGTCCCCGGGGCTGAGCTCCCTCCCCGCTCCTGCCTCGGGACCCAAGCAAAACCATGCACGTGCCCTTGCAAGCAACCACTTTCTGCAAGCTTTCCTGCTCCTCCTTTGCAGGGATCCTAAGCCCAAAAGCAGTGGTTATATAATATAATATAATATAATATAATATACTTGGCGGAGTGCCTGTGTCTATACATATAGAGGTAAAAAGAAAGTGTTATATGATGAACCCCCTGAGTGCTTCAACATTCAGTAAACAACGATCTTATCAGCTAACTGTTAAAAAAATTTACAATTGGACTTTGGTATAAATATAAAACAGGTATGATGAGGGAGGGATCCTGGTTTTCTCTGATAAAAAAAACAAAATCCAAATTTTCTGATTTAAAAAAATAACCCCGAATATACAGCAGACAAGAAGCTCAATATTGTGCTAAAAATGCACTCTTGTTGCAACCCCCCCCGCTCCCTCCAAAAAGCCAATAGCACCCTGGACTCTTTTATCAGGACCACTGCTTGCAAGTCAAAGGAAAGTAGAAGGCAGGACAGGGTGGCACCTTAGGCCTCTGCTCCATGTTACATGTATTACGCAATTAATTGGAGAATCATATGATACATTTCCTACCTGCCACACGTACAAAGTAATTATCATGCAGTTAACTGGTGAAATATGCAATAAATGTAGAGCCACCATGTGTGCAAAGTAATTATCACACAGTTAACTGGTGAATCGCACAATAAATGTAGACCCGCCACATGTACAAAGTAAGACCAACCATAAGTGTGAAGTAATTACCACGCGATTAACTGGTGAATCGCACAATAAA